GATTGAAGCTGGACGTATACACAAGTGGCCCCTAGAGGCCCCCGCGCAGCTACTGCAGCATCCGTCGTGGGCCAGGAACAGCCGCTGTGCTGAGCGACTTCCCCGGCCGCTGGTGAGGTTCAGAGAGTCGCTCGCTCGGCACAGCGGCCATTCATTGAACGCCCAGTATTTCCTATGAATGATCACAAGGCGTTCTCTGAATGGACGAGGGGCGGTGACATCATAGTGAATATATTGGACAAAGTCACGCCCCCGAGGATCCTCTGCACACTGTGATGTCACATCCGATTCCTCCATGTCAGTCTCGTTGTCTAGGGGGGCTCTCAGATTGGCGCGGCCATGAAACTCCATCTGATCACCAGACCGACCTCCAGCCAATGACACGGATGGGTGGGACTAACCCCCATGGTTGGGACTAACCGGCCCACCTATGGCTGCTGAATCAGGATATTCTCTGCAGAGTGAATTTTGTACTTTCTTTCACCTCATTCACTGAGATAAGTCAACATGTTTCACTCCTTTAGTAAATGAGGAATTTGCCCCCCCGGAAAGGACATCTTACCCTCCTCCTCAGGTTGATGTTATGATGCACTGATCCCCAACACACGGCCATTAATGTCTAAACCGCCGGCAACAAAAGTAAGTGCACCCCTAAGTGACAATCTCCAAATTGGGCCCAATGAGCCATTTTCCCTCCCCAGTGTCATGTGACTGGCTATTGTCCCTCCCCCGGTGTCATGTGACTGGTTAGTGTCCCTCCCCCGGTGTCATGTGACTCAGGTCTCAGGTGTGTTACATTTGGGGTTCTCGCTCTCTCGTACCGGTCACAGGAAGTAGAACGTGGCGCCTCCCGGCAGAGAACTCTCCGAGGATCTGACACATGAAGATGGCCGGGGCTCAGGGGCGCCCATTAGGCTGTGTTCACACCTAGGCGTATCGAATATGCGCGTTTGTCGTGCGTTTTGCGATTCGCGGTAAAAAAACGCGCGTTTCCAAGGGCTACACCGTGTCATGTGACTGGTTAGTGTCCCTCCCCCGGTGTCATGTGACTGGCTAGTGTCCCTCCCCCGGTGTCATGTGACTGGTTAATGTCCCTCCCCCGGTGTCATGTGACTGGCTATTGTCCCTCCCCCGGTGTCATGTGACTGGTTAGTGTCCCTCCCCCGGTGTCATGTGACTGAGGTCTCAGGCGCGTTACATTTGGGGTTCTCGCTCTCTCATACTGATCACTGGAAGTACAACATGGCGCCTCATGGCAAAGAACTCTCCGAGTATCTGACACATAAAGATGGCCGCCGAGACCCCGAAAATTGAGCCGCGGCACAGTGGCCAAGACCATACAGCGGTGCGCCACTCAGAAGCCCATTAGGCTGTGTTCACACCTAGGCGTATCGAATATGCGCGTTTGTCGTGCGTTTTGCGATTCGCGGTAAAAAAACGCGCGTTTCCAAGGGCTACTTGGCTGTATCCCAATGGAAACGCGATCGGCTCCCTGACCCGCGTCCTGTCCTCCCGCGGTGCTCATGCGGCTGGATGTGTCAGACGCCGCAGGCGGGAAGGAGAGAGGAGGAGACTCGGGAAGCTGCTGCAGTGGAGGTAAGAAAAGACAGACGGGAGCGAGGGCCGGTTCACACCACAAAGTCTGCGTTCCAGAGTGTTCGGCTCCCTGCGTTCAGGGGCGGGAGGGGGCGTGGCTGCGGTGCCAT